CTGAATGATAAGTTTATTTTAAAATAAAACATCTAACTAATTTGAATGAGTAAGCAGTATTCTTCCAATACTTTCTATATATCCTTTCTATATAAAGTTTGATTTGTGACGGTGCAGAATATAATTTGTTTGATCCAAAATTTTAAGATATGGACTGAATTCATTGATGCACTCCTCCACAAACCACTGATTACAATTTACGATGTTTTTATTTCCCGCACAATTTCTGCATGCACCTTAACAAATTTTCAATGACCATTTTACTTTCTAAAAAATATGATTTTCAGAATATATATTTCAAAAACTTTCCGGAAATTGTGAAATTTCTGGAACACAACTTTTAACATAATATTTCCAGAATAAAATTTTTGAAATAGAATTTTCGAAATCAAATTTCTGGAATGCATGGAATAAATTTTGAGAAAAAGTTTTCAAAATAAAATTTTCTATATTAACTTTTCATAATGCATATAATGCCTTCTGGAATGACTTTTTCAGAACATTCATACATAAAATGCATTTTGGAAATAATTTTCCAGAATATATTCTGAAAGAGTACTTTTTCGCATTTTCCCTTTTTAGTCTGTAGTTTTCTCTTTCCTCTTCTTCTTTCTCTGCGTTGACAATGATAATAAAAGTGAAACCGGCAACAATGCTGTCATGCAGTTAGTGAAGGGTGTTTGAGTTATTTTTTTTATGGTTAATAATGTTTTTATTTCCCCAATTTATATGTAAAATTGAATTTTTTTTAAATATAATTTGGACCAAACTTTAAAGTTAGTGAATATATTCATAGTGTTAACTTTTTTAGGATTTATTAAATGAACTCATGTTTGAGTTACAATTTACTAAAATAATTCATTCTAAAACATATTTAAACATGTTGAAAAAAACTTAATATAATTGAATTATAAAGATTATAATTATTTATTTTTAAAGTTTGAAATTAAAATATATTAAAATTTAAAAGAATGAAGAGTTTTAATTTTGCATAAACTTTAAATAAATATATTTAACTGTATTTTTTTATTATTGAGCTGCAGTGATTATAGGGGTGCAGGTAGCCTTTACAATATGATAGCACTCGTCCATATAGCAGTCAATTTTAAGCCTTTTGTAAATTAGTATATTATTTTTATAGAGCTCCAAACTATGTGATAGTGTAAAACTTTATTTAGTAATATCTTACATTATACTTTTGTCTAGAGTTCTATGATATGCTTACATCAACACATTATATAACATGTATCTCTACTTTTCAACTGACCTTTATTTTATTTTATTTTTCTTCATTCGCACAACTGGAAGATACCTAATAAATCAAAGTAACAACAAATCTTAAAATTGTTATTCAAAATGCACGAATGTTGTTCCCTGTGTCCTTATAGAATTGAATACAAGTAAAATATTTCTTTAATATATGAAAACAGAAATATTAAATGATTTTAACTACTATTCTAATCCATATGAAAATAATTTAGTATGGAGCTAGTATGAAGGAAAAAAAATCAATCCATTGAGGTAATAAAATTTTGATAAATTTTAGAATAAATTATACAAACATTCTTCATATCAACTTTACAACAACATCCTAGTTTTCTTAAAACTCTCGAAATTTTCAAATTGTGGAAATATCATTATTTACAGTTTTTACGAGGTCGGTGCACACCTCTTTTAACATTGCGCATGCACATTTTTCAGACACATCATTAACTGTAATAATTACCATTACTTCTTAAGTGGAGAAACTATTTGTTTAAAGTTGTATTACATTTGGAGGGGCTGCATATGTACTTACAATACACAAACTATACGTTAACATTAATTTAATATTTTTAGTGTTATCCACTCATTTGTTGACATACACATTCAGGCTTCATTTTACCTTTACTTCCTTCTCCTTAAAATTCTGAAAATCTACACATTTAATTAATTTAATTATTCTAAACCTCAGGACTTGGTAACCAAAACATGAAATTTCACCTAAAGATATACCAAATCTTCTTTCAAATCTTAATATATAAATTTTTTACTAAATTTCTAGCCTAAGCTTTTAAAACGATTATATATTCCAAATTCATGATAAGCTCCCAAATATTTGAATTGAAAATAAGAATTTAAGATAAAAGTAGACACAGAGAAGGAGAAAATTAGTTTAATTTTAAAAATAAAGGGACTTACTTAATGGCAAAATAATCAAAGAATCAAATTTAATTAAAAAATAAAAAATTATTTAAAGTTAAGTCCTAATACACAGATGTAAATAACAGTGACAGCTAATGACTCAGCAGACAGAGCTTCTATGAGAAGACAACATGGTATTAGGTACAACTTCTAGCACTACACTTTCATTCATTGTTAAAAGCCCTCAATAAAACATATTTAGCCATAAAATAAGGTACTCTCCCCTACCCTCACCTAACTTTTTGTTTGGAATAACAATAAGCAATTAAACTTTTCAATTGTACCACCACACATAAGTGAATGACATCAGAGATCCTGCTTGGGACGCTAGGTATAAAGCATGAAATACCCACAAAATTTAACCCTCAGCCAGAAAAATGCACAAGTACCGAATGGAAATTTCTAAGACTACAGTGATTCACCTTGCACCCCTCTCCCAGACCAACCCCATAGTAGTGTATGATGCTTCATCTCAGTTCTTTTCATTCCTCTCTTCGGGAAACATTAGTGCAAAATTCTATTTCTTGCAAATTGAATTTGTTATAACTTTTGTTGTCATCGTAGTTTTCTCCAAATATTAACCTAGGTGAACTAAGATCGGGACAAGGATATAAAGAATACAAAGATACAGTGGCAAGTCAAAGAAGTAAAGTTGTTATACTTGCGGTCATCTNCAAACCACTGATTACAATTTACGATGTTTTTATTTCCCGCACAATTTCTGCATGCACCTTAACAAATTTTCAATGACCATTTTACTTTCTAAAAAATATGATTTTCAGAATATATATTTCAAAAACTTTCCGGAAATTGTGAAATTTCTGGAACACAACTTTTAACATAATATTTCCAGAATAAAATTTTTGAAATAGAATTTTCGAAATCAAATTTCTGGAATGCATGGAATAAATTTTGAGAAAAAGTTTTCAAAATAAAATTTTCTATATTAACTTTTCATAATGCATATAATGCCTTCTGGAATGACTTTTTCAGAACATTCATACATAAAATGCATTTTGGAAATAATTTTCCAGAATATATTCTGAAAGAGTACTTTTTCGCATTTTCCCTTTTTAGTCTGTAGTTTTCTCTTTCCTCTTCTTCTTTCTCTGCGTTGACAATGATAATAAAAGTGAAACCGGCAACAATGCTGTCATGCAGTTAGTGAAGGGTGTTTGAGTTATTTTTTTTATGGTTAATAATGTTTTTATTTCCCCAATTTATATGTAAAATTGAATTTTTTTTAAATATAATTTGGACCAAACTTTAAAGTTAGTGAATATATTCATAGTGTTAACTTTTTTAGGATTTATTAAATGAACTCATGTTTGAGTTACAATTTACTAAAATAATTCATTCTAAAACATATTTAAACATGTTGAAAAAAACTTAATATAATTGAATTATAAAGATTATAATTATTTATTTTTAAAGTTTGAAATTAAAATATATTAAAATTTAAAAGAATGAAGAGTTTTAATTTTGCATAAACTTTAAATAAATATATTTAACTGTATTTTTTTATTATTGAGCTGCAGTGATTATAGGGGTGCAGGTAGCCTTTACAATATGATAGCACTCGTCCATATAGCAGTCAATTTTAAGCCTTTTGTAAATTAGTATATTATTTTTATAGAGCTCCAAACTATGTGATAGTGTAAAACTTTATTTAGTAATATCTTACATTATACTTTTGTCTAGAGTTCTATGATATGCTTACATCAACACATTATATAACATGTATCTCTACTTTTCAACTGACCTTTATTTTATTTTATTTTTCTTCATTCGCACAACTGGAAGATACCTAATAAATCAAAGTAACAACAAATCTTAAAATTGTTATTCAAAATGCACGAATGTTGTTCCCTGTGTCCTTATAGAATTGAATACAAGTAAAATATTTCTTTAATATATGAAAACAGAAATATTAAATGATTTTAACTACTATTCTAATCCATATGAAAATAATTTAGTATGGAGCTAGTATGAAGGAAAAAAAATCAATCCATTGAGGTAATAAAATTTTGATAAATTTTAGAATAAATTATACAAACATTCTTCATATCAACTTTACAACAACATCCTAGTTTTCTTAAAACTCTCGAAATTTTCAAATTGTGGAAATATCATTATTTACAGTTTTTACGAGGTCGGTGCACACCTCTTTTAACATTGCGCATGCACATTTTTCAGACACATCATTAACTGTAATAATTACCATTACTTCTTAAGTGGAGAAACTATTTGTTTAAAGTTGTATTACATTTGGAGGGGCTGCATATGTACTTACAATACACAAACTATACGTTAACATTAATTTAATATTTTTAGTGTTATCCACTCATTTGTTGACATACACATTCAGGCTTCATTTTACCTTTACTTCCTTCTCCTTAAAATTCTGAAAATCTACACATTTAATTAATTTAATTATTCTAAACCTCAGGACTTGGTAACCAAAACATGAAATTTCACCTAAAGATATACCAAATCTTCTTTCAAATCTTAATATATAATTTTTTTTCTAAATTTCTAGCCTAAGCTTTTAAAACGATTATATATTCCAAATTCATGATAAGCTCCCAAATATTTGAATTGAAAATAAGAATTTATGATAAAAGTAGACACAGAGAAGGATAAAATTAGTTTAATTTTAAAAATAAAGGGACTTACTTAATGGCAAAATAATCAAAGAATCAAATTTAATTAAAAAATAAAAAATTATTTAAAGTTAAGTCCTAATACACAGATGTAAATAACAGTGTCAGCTAATGACTCAGCAGACAGAGCTTTTATGAGAAGACAACATGGTATTAGGTACAACTTCTATCACTACACTTTCATTCATTGTTAAAAGCCCTCAATAAAACATATTTAGCCATAAAATAAGGTACTCTCCCCTACCCTCACCTAACTTTTTGTTTGGAATAACAATAAGCAATTAAACTTTTCAATTGTACCACCACACATAAGTGAATGACATCAGAGATCCTGCTTGGGACGCTAGGTATAAAGCATGAAATACCCACAAAATTTAACCCTCAGCCAGAAAAATGCACAAGTACCGAATGGAAATTTCTAAGACTACAGTGATTCACCTTGCACCCCTCTCCCAGACCAACCCCATAGTAGTGTATGATGCTTCATCTCAGTTCTTTTCATTCCTCTCTTCGGGAAACATTAGTGCAAAATTCTATTTCTTGCAAATTGAATTTGTTATAACTTTTGTTGTCATCGTAGTTTTCTCCAAATATTAACCTAGGTGAACTAAGATCGGGACAAGGATATAAAGAATACAAAGATACAGTGGCAAGTCAAAGATGTAAAGTTGTTATACTTGCGGTCATCTGAAGTTGCAGCAACGAGCTCGACCTCTTGATAATTTGTCCCACAGACAGATCATCTGTCTTGGTGATTGGTAATGTGCAGTGAAGTAGCCCTCCATGCATCCATACTGACAAAACTTCCAGTTGTGGGAGTACTGGACTGGAGCAACAGTACTATTATATCTCTCAACCCACATTCCCATGCTTACATCCTCCATTTTAAAGAGCTGCCATCAGAATATATTTCAGTCATCAATGATTTTTATTGATGTGGCAACTTGGAAAGTGAGGAGGGAGGGGAGACTGCAAAGCTAAATGAAAAATATAAGGTTAACTAACCCTTAGCCTCCTATCCTTGTGTTGAGATAGGATGAATGTAACAATATCACTGGAAATTACATATGCAGGTCCATTTGCATAAGGAGGATATACTTCTTCTGGCCACTCCTGGAACAACAAAACACAATACCTCAGAATACAACAAAAAAAGAACAATTTATAGCATTCCCCGCATTATGTGTACTTGTCACCAAATGTTTAGACAAGCACAACAATTAAGGAAAAAAGAGTTCAACAAAAAAAATGTAATAAAATTATGAAACGCTACTGCACAAGTTCCAGTTAAAAGTAAAGGAGTAACACTGACAACTGGTTCCAATTAAAGAATTGAAAACATCTAAATCATATTTG